ACGATTGGCTGAAATATGTTTCTTGCTTTGGCTGTTAAAAAAGCAGACGATTGGCTTTCTAGCGGGAGGGGCGGGATAACCGCCATCTTTACCATTATGGGCTTTCCCCACAGAGTTGTATTAGGGATGTGATTGAGTGGCATGTCTCCTCTAAATTGTCTCTGCTTCAGTCTACTTGCTCATATCTACACCAAACTTGTTTGATAAGAGTCCCGCCCCAAACACATCTACAAGCCAAAATTCATGCGTAGTCACAGCGCCACCTGCTGGCAACAGGAAGTGACTATGTTTGTGCTATGATGAACCACTTCTTGCAGGTTGGCTATATCTACTTCAAAACTATCTTAGAAAACTCTTAACTCTTTGATGATGTCATGTTGTAAAGCATGTGAGTTTACCTTAAACACTGTATCCTTGAGGGGGTGGCAAAGTTCCATGCTTCGCCATGAAACAGGAAGTCGTTGTAATTTAACTGTACATGCTCAAATCTGAACCAAACTTAGCGTGCTTGATAATTGTCCCGCCCCGAACACATCTACACTCCAATATCCACTTGTAGTCGTAGTGCAAAGTGCTCTGCAGCGCCACAAAGGGGACACAGGAAGTGAAGCATAACACCTTCGTGCAGTGTCCGCAGCACGTAACAAACTTACATCCGCACGGGCAGAGCTCCAGAATCTGCAATGCAGCCGCCTCACACACCGACGTGCTACACGTGAGGGAAAAGGGACAAGTATGACTGGAAAGCAGTTAGGCTTTATTAAAATCTAAACCTTTATTAATCAAAAAATAAATACTCTGATTAAAACTATGTTAAGCACAAAAAGACAGGTTGGCTGAAATGACCCCATAAAACAGACACTAGCTGCCATGCAGTAAATATAACGACGAGCAGACATGGTAACCCAGTGCTACGGGAGTTCACAGTCAATGGGCATGTTCATCACACACGTAGGATGAGCACTAAACCAGACCAGAACAAAACAAGGAAAAGAAAACCACCAAGGCAGTGACTCACCACATGCAACTCAAACAAAACAAAACACAACTCTATACAGTTGTTGCATTTATATTATTTTTAAACAATTGTATAAGATAACATAATAGAACACATGTCCAAACCCCAACAGCTATGTGGCTGATCCCTACTTGGGTCTCCCCGACTAAGTTAGCCTAAGTTTTCCCCAAAGTTAAATGGGCTCTCCTTGTAACAGCGGCCCACCACCTGCTACTCTCAGTACAGACGCCACTCCGACCCCGGTGGTCCACCACCTGCTACACTATGGCCAGACGCCGCTCTGATCCGGTCTCTCCTGACCAGGGGCGTTTCCATGCTTTCGAAACACTGGGGGCTTAGCCCAGCCCAGAAATCTTTCATGTTTATACCTGGTTTCACCCTTGGGTCTGCCCCCATTTGAACCATTGGAACAGACAGAGTTGAGGTGGTTGTCTGCTAAGACAGCATTTCTGCTTGCTGTCATCAGCAAAACAAGTGGGAGAACTGCAGGCCCTATCAGTGAGCCCGAGGTGCCTGCATTGTGTAGCGAGGCGGATTGTTGGGTTCTCGCTCACGAATGTGAATTTTTAGGACATGCAATATTAACCAAACTACGCCACCTGGGGAATTTCACCCCAAGAATACACTATATTGCAAAAAGTTTAAGGTCGCCTGCCTTTACATACACATAAAGGTTAATGACATCCTATTCCTAATCCGTAGGGTTTAATATGGAGTTGGCGCACCCTTTGCAGCTTACAGCTTCAACTCTTATGCGAAGGCTGTCTACAAGATTTAGGAGTGTGTTCAACAAGACAAGACAGCACTGACTGAAATTTGTTGATCGATTGTGTGAGACAGCAAAGCTAATGTTACTCAAACAAAGCAACCTCCGTGTCAGTTTTTATTCCTTTCAAATCTCTGAGGTTTATCTATTATTGAAAGCCTCACCGATGTTAACATAGGTCTTCCCCTTGTCTGGACTTATAACTTGTTTTACAATTTCTACTCATCAGACCTTTTCCTTTATCGCTGTTTCTCAGCCATCTTCACAGCTAGAGTCCCAGGTCAAATGTACTGGTGTTTGTTTACGTTATGTGACTTTCTCTCTCCCACTGCTTTGTGGACAACAGCCACCGCTTCCTGTTATGCACTGGAATATATCCAGTGAAAAGACATCAGAGACATTTAGAATCAATGTTAAAAATTCTGTGAACTGCAAGATGAAAACAATCTGTCATTTGTTTTATCACTGTATAGCAGAATATTTGGTTGGATGTTCACCATTATGAAAGAAGAAGGAAAACTTCAATTTCAGGATAAAGACATTCTTATATGTTTTGAAAGTAATGAAAAGGAAAAGAAATATTTTTTGTACAGTCAGTTTTATTACTGGGAGAATTCCACATGCACAAAAAGGCTGACTCCAAATCATATTTTGGAAATTATTACCAATAATTGAGTCAATATAGCATCAAAGACATTAAGAATATTAAGGCAATAGCTACTAATTATGTGCTTGATAGATTTTTTATGAACTGATAATACAGTATTTTGAATTTGTTTCAATCTCTTGAATTTCTTGTAGTCTGTTCTTTAACATTTCGGTCGATGCGTTGCGCCTCTTTTGCGCTCCACACGGACTGTTTACCTGCATGCAACCAAAGCCCGCTGCAACGTGATTGGTCAATACTCCCCGGACTACAGGCGGAAACCGGAACCTTCCTCTCCTGCAGACCCTGCATCCATGTGCAGATGGTAGAAAACAGACGGAGGAGAAGAAAGAAGATGAGATGAGTTTGAAGTGTTTGCTGGCTAACCGAGAAGCCAACATTTTGACAAATGGAGGATCGTACGTGTTATTTAGCAGAAGAAAAAGCGACGGAGCGAAAAGAGGAAGAAGTGAAACTAAATGTGGACAGACGACGGCAGAAAACAATGATCAACATCGGTGCGGCCTTCCCCAAATGGAAATCTCTGATGAGGGACAAATGTTTTCAGAGTGACGCCGAAGTTGCCTGTTTTCTGCTGCACAGGTAATTTAGCCCGATCTAAACGCAACGTGTTGTTTGGTAGCTTCAGCTGGAACATGGCCACAGGGAGACTTACCAACTCAGTAATTACTACCAGGACTGTAGTTTTACTTTCATGCGACAAATCCTACAATTTATCTTCGTTATTTGGACCCAACAGACCCGAAACTTACTGCCAATCAAAGTGTAACGTTAACCAGAAACCTTGGAGCTCATGTCAGCCAGCTGCTAACACAGCCACACTTCATATTTTACAGTCCTGCTGGGAAAGATTTATTTATTAATGCTGATTATTCAGTCAAAACGCTGTGCAGTGCCTATCAAAGGTCAAACATGTTGTTTACTTGCTCTGTTTGTTTACAAAAAGGAGCGATGTTGTTGTTTGTCATTGCTTTTTCTGCACATAGGTGGAATCTGATGATGCACAGGGTCAGAGCCATTGGCAAAGGTTGCATTGTGTGCACACAGCCTCCATTAATGGATATAAGTAGTGCTTTGTGTTCAGTTTATATTCAAAGAGATAAAGAAACTGTTTGGTACATCCATGTGATTTACTCTGGTAAAGCAGACACTTTTATATATTTCCCAGTTTGTTCACTATCCATGCCTGAGATCATGCTTGTAGTTGACCTGATAGTTGCTATTCCTGATTTATTTTGGTGAGTTTGTCCAGGCGAGCCGACCCTCCCAGCACCTTAGGACGTAACAGAATGTATTACAGGGGTGTGCAGCTGTGTCATGTAGCACTTATTCTCTTGATGTTGCTGCTGTTTCTCCAGCTATGAGAGAGGATCTGCAGCAACGACTCCCATGAAGGAAAAACCTGTTCAAATGCAAGTCATTAATATAATATATACAGTATAGCTGCTGTATCTCCATATGTGGGATGTATCATGCTCTGGTTCTTCTTTTCAGAGATGAGCGTCTGAATGTCATTGCAGAATCCACAGAAATGGACCTTGAACAAAGGAAACAGTTCAACTGTCATAACTTCTTTGTACTACATGTCTTGTGTTTTGTTTATATTCATAATTTATATATTTTAATGTTTTTATTTTTACAGTTTACAGGACATGAGCATGGATGAAAAGCACAATGTTTTCAATAACCCCTTGAACTGTTTGTAAGTTGTGCTTCATAATGACATTTATTACTATTTAGTGTTCTCTCTGTAGGATTTATTGTTTTCTGAATATGTCCTCCTTTTACAGAATTGATTGGACAGATGAAGGCCCCCCTTCCTTTCATGAAAAAGATGATGGAGATAAAGATGACAGCTCTGATGAAGAGGATCTTTCACCCATTTGTATACGGTGTGTTATCAGTCAGTATTTACTCTGCTGTTGTTCTGTGATGCCAGCTTTTATTCAAATCTTTACACATATGCCTTCATGTTGGGCCTCAACAGAATGGGTGGAGCATTAAAGAAAGCACCATCGATCGATCGACTTCCAGTTATTGGAACGGGCGAGGCAGCGCATGACCAGCCTGCACGTGAAGACCCTCCTGATGAGGCTTCTCCCTGCTTGTGGAGGTGGAATTCCCAGCCTGTAATGAAGTGTGGGACGCAAGCTGGAGATTTTCTCTTGTCCACCAACATTTTGTTGTCTGGCAACGACTATGCGAAGGTCGCCCTCTTGTTCAAGTTCATGAACATGGGGATGGTGAAGAAGAACACCTTCATGTCCATTCAGGACGCTTACTGTGTGGACACAGTGAAGGCCTTCTGGGAAGAGAGGAGGACTGAGGCCCTCAGTGGCCTTCAGGGGAAAGATGTTGTGGTCCTAGGTGCGTAGCTGAAACTTTACCATGTTATATAAATATTGAAGACATTAGGCAATTTATGGGTTTTATTTTATATACTTTTTTTTCAGCAGATGGCAGAAATGACTCTCCAGGCCATCGTGCACATTACTGCAGCTACGCCAACATGGAGAATGACACTAAGGAGATCATTCATGTTGCCACCATCAACAAGCAGCAGACATCCTGCAACTCTGTCGTCATGGAGAAGGAGGGTTTTATCGAGACTGTAGACAAGCTTACATCAGATATAAAGCTAGTGGTGATCTGCACAGATGCTAATGCCCAGATTGCACCCATTATGAGTAAGTAAATGTCATTGTCATTATCAACTTGTTTGATTATCAAGACAAGTGCGCTAAATACTAACATTTTGAAATGTGTATTTCTCAACTCAAACAGACAAAGTTACACAAGCATAACAAGTATACAAAATATAGTGCACGTTACAGCAATACTGTATGATAAAGCAAGCAACATCCCACCTGCATTGCTTCTGTGCTTCCACACTTACTTCACTTTACACAGCTGTCACTCACAGAAATATAAACCGTTTCAATGATGCAAAACATTTTCAATATAAACAAATTAAGCTACAAATAAAGATTAAAGTGATATTTCACCTTCGACTTTAATACAATATTAACATTCTCAAGTACAACCCATAACAGCTCAGTCACATTTAAGTGTTTTAATATAAGGTACTTAAAAATATACCTCATCCTTAAATTATTTTATGCGCTGGAGCACAAGTAAAATACTGTGTAAACTAAATGCCTTATATCTAGCATTGTGCCTGCAAGACTTCATTCAGGTATGAACCTGGATGCCCACCCAGCGGTGTCTAAACAATGGGTAATTTAAAAGTTTGACAGGAATATTCTAAACAGTATCAAAACGTCTTTATAACACTTGCTCACACCAAGCTAGGCTTTAAGACATCTATGTGGAAATTTTTTTTATCAACTACTAACCTGTAAAATACAGATAGAAGATTCAAAAAACAGCGTATTCATTTTGTTATCTCAGGGGAAGACAACCTGGGGCACATGACAAAAGTTCTGCCTGAGTGCTGCTTACGTTTGTCACTTGTATTCACAATATATACATGAAAAATAAAATAGTGTGATTGTCACTTAAGTATTTAGGTAATATTAAACTCAAAATGGTTGCACAATTTTGGGGTGTATCAAAATATAATGTTACTATGTTGTAGGGGTGGGAATCTCTGGGCACCTCATGATTAGATTTGATTACGATTCAATGCAAATTGATGCATAATATTTCTGGATTATCTCCAGATAATGACTAAGCATTTAATTTGCGCATTAAAATCCAAAAGATACATCTTATAATTAGCTTAAAAGGGCTAGTTTGCATGCATCCCTAATTTACTCCTTGGTCCTTAAATTCTACAAGACTTTTATTAATGAAGACACTGTGACCTACAATGCACGTTTACTACCAGACTGAAACTTATTGCAAGTATTTTTCTCCGCTAACTCTCACCATCATGTTCTGCCGCTTGCTCGCTCTCTCCTTCGCTCGGCCTCACGCACAGGATATGCAGGGAGCTCGACCAAGCATGGAGTGTCAACATGCTTGCACAATGTTCGAGTTAAAATCATGACTAGCCCATTGATATTAATAGTTGTGTTATATTTAAGTAGGGTGAGTATTCATTCTGCAGCGGTGGTGTGCCGAATACAGGGGGAACACTGGTTTCTGTTGTGTGCACGCCACAGGTCTGGGCGCTGTACTTCCGCGAGTTCTGCCTTTTGCGTTCTGTCAACATTACTTTATCAATTAACTTTTAAATAATAGATTTTTTGACATTTGTGAATCGAGTTGGAATATTCCATGCCCGCATCGCGATGCATCTAAGAATCGATATTTTCGCCATCCCTACTATATTGTAGGGCAGCTAAACTGAGGATTATTGTTTTATTTTTTTTATTGTATTGACTCTGCTCTGCTTGCCTGCCATTCACCAGTCTTGTACAGAGTTTCGCATGTATGCTCGCTGACAATTGAATGCACGTCGCGGTTCCTCGCGGGTCTATTCCAAGTAGCCTACTGTTTTAAAACGACATAATATTCTTTTTGTGGTTCATCAATGGTGATAAATGAATGAATTTTCTGCAAAGTTGAAGCACAACTCTGCACAACATCGGCGCAGCTGGTCCTCCTCTACCACACACACACACTATGCCGACACATGCGCACTGACCCCTTTCCATTACATACATGTTGCCGACCAGCTTGGCAACATGGACTGGAGAGTTTCAGAGTGGTGAGTTATTAATCTGTAACAAAAGTATCGTTCATCCATAAAGTTTTAACTGAGCTCTGTCTCTACATCACAGTAACAACTTCATGTCCACTGACTGTCTGGGAGATGAGAACTCCCTTTGGGCTGGACTTCTGGCTTTTTCACTTTGCAAACCTATTCCATGCACAAGAAATAGTATATAACTCAATAAAGGAGAGGGGAAAAAGCCAAAAGGCGTAATACCACCTCTTTAAAAATATTTATTACATTTTTATTTACAGCATTATATCTTGATATTTATATCTTAATATGCTGTATATTAACTTATTGGGAGAAAACTGGTAGTTCTATTTAAAATTAGATGTTGAGCATTCCCATATAGCCAAAATGACATGATCCTTGTTTTGAATCTTCGACTACTTGGGGTCACTATATTAATTATAACTTCATATTGTAGTATACAACATAATACATGTCACGCAGAAATGGAGAGAGGAGTGAGGCAAACGACTCAACTGTAAACACATCTGGCCCAGCTGATTTACCACTTTGTAAAACCATGATTGCCCTCTTTATCTCAGTAGACTGATCATACTCGAGCTCACAGTACCCTGGGAAGAGTGCATGGAAAAAGCCCACGAGAAAAAATGTTCAAAGTACCAGGATCTACAGGAGAAGTGCCAGGACAGAGGATGGAAGACCCTCTATGAACCCATAGAGGAGGGCTGTAGAGGCCTCGCAGGGCGCTCACTCTGCAAAGTCCTAAACTAACTGGGCATCACAGGGGTTGCAAAGAAGAGAGCCATAGAATCCGCAAGCAAAGCCCCTGAGAAAGCTACAAGGTGGCTTTGGATAGAGAGTGCTGATCCGTGGACGGTTGCTGCTGGGACGTAAGTTGGGGCCTGATCAATCCCGGCTGGGCTGCCAGGATGAGGGTGTCTGATGTTGAAAGACCCGAAACACCCGAGGACTCCTGGTTACATCACTGCTGATGCGTCCCACTGCATCCAGAAGATATATCATGCACAGATCTTGGTAGCCCGATTTGGTCCCTGAAAATTGTAATATACAAAGCGAATGTTGTTCATAGATGACCTGGTCTTATCTGTCATACATGTAACGCTGAGTAAATTTGTATTTGTGTATTCCAAAGTGGCAAGGTAGAGAAAAAAAGAAAGATAAACCAGAAAAAGCAAAAAAAAAAAAAAACAACAACAAGGAAATACAAAATGAAAGGGAGTGATACTGCCCCCCCCCCCCTTTGCCAAGCCTAACGTACACTGCAGCTAATGTGACCCTGCACAAAAGTGCCATATTACAAACAATCAACAGTCGCAAGGCAATTTTAGGAACAGCATACTCAGCTGTTTGAAACTACTATGAAGACAGTAGATCAGACTAGCTTCTTTTCAAAACTGCCAATGTTGCTAACTACAACTAATTACAAACAGGAGATGATTAAAATATTGTAGTAATATTAAATACCTCCCCACTTCACAGACCCAGGCGAAGGCAGATCCAAGGTCCTTGGAATTTATCACAGTCTGGACATGTGGCATGGTGCCAAGAACCTGGTCAAAAAAAATAGCTGCTGTAAGTTGAATAAGTTGCTCATGTTATTGTCTACAGTATGTTTTCACCATAAAGTGACTATATCTTACATCAGGGGTATTTATCTGTGTGCCATTGCTGGCTGGAGAGTACGCAAGTTTTCATTAAAATCAAACATAACAAAAGTTGATTTCAATGCTTAGCTTCTCCTCTATGGCGGAAGTCATCCAATGAAGTTTAAAATCAAGGTCAACTGGACTTGGCAGAACATACTAGAAGACGTTTCAATCCTCATCCAAGAGACTTCTTCTGTTCTGACTGACTGGTACAGAAACTCAGCTAGTTAGCCTTTGTGGAGTGGTTTGCCAAGCTGATTGATACAGCTAGTTTGTTAGTGCTTCTGGCTTTTGTAACCACAGTCGTTATGGCCCTAGGAGCCACCTGGGGCAAAGTCTGAACCATTAGTGGCAACTTCACCTGAGGCAAAAAGTGAATGTTTTAGTTGATGAAAGGTGAAAGTTCTGGATGAAAGGACTGCATTGAAAGGGGGGGACAAGCGGTGTTGCAGACCCCTCTCCTGTTAAGCGATTGCTTCTTAACCTGGGTGTAAATGGGTTCTTTGACACTTTTCAAACCATCCATCCTCTCTTCTGTTGAAGGAAATGTTCGGGGTTAGGCAAGATTAAAAACCCAAAACTTGTCACTACCATTATAAAAATCTTTGCTAAAATAGACAGCATTTTGGGGTCCAAAAACTTACTGGAGTCCGTCATAAATCGGTGCAAAAGAGTCTTTATTCTTTAAAAAAATCTGAGTTACATCTTAGCATGCATCAGGATGAACTAACTGCGCAGTTCGTGAACGTTGTCTTTGTTTCTCTACACTGACATCATTAGCACAACATGCTCATTATCTCCCTGTCTTGGCGGTGATGTTTACTTTGTTGAGTATCTTCCAAATTTTTTTGGTAGAGATAATTACTCATACTCCTCTACTCCCCTGCCTAAGTCTGTCAGTATGCTAAGTATGCTCACAGACAATCACATCCCCCCGTTTCTAGCACCTGGATTGTTATCGCTTGAGGCATGCAGCAACCACAGCATGACTTGGCTTCAGGTGGCTCTAACGTCATTACAACAGCCAGGAGCGCTAACAAACCAGCGGTATCGATTATCTTGGCAAACGACTCCACAGAGTTTCCCTACCAGTCAGTTAGAACTGAAGAAGTCTATTGGATGAGGGACGAAACGTCTAAGTTTACCTTGATTTTAACATTCCTTGGATAACTATGACCTGGATGACTGAGAAACCTCCCTAACCTAACCCTGTGTTAATCATTGAAATCATCTGGTGTAGTCTTTGGTTGGGATGACAATCTGCTTACTCTCAGCCCTCCCTGGAATATGGTTGAATATCCATGTTTTGTTTTGCTGCTGAAGGCAGCAAAGATTAAAGGATATGTCAAACTTTTCATCTGGCTGAAAGACATTGTAAATAATTTTTGTAAGAAAGCAGATACAACCAAGCAGTTTTTTGTAAGTGCATCATATATATATATATATATATATATATATATGATGCGCTTAGAGAGTATCTTAGTAAGTTCATTTATTTTCATATGAAGGATCTTTTATAGTGCTGTTCTGTTTTTCGCAGGCACCTTGGGTTGGTATCATGTACAATGTCTGTGACATTCACACCCGGATTACGGGAAGGCGTCAACATCGGCACCTGGAAGAAACACATGGAAAGGCGTGGATCCAGAGAGCTTCCATGTGCCACAAAGCTTTAGTGGACATTGTTCTTAATAAGTGTTGGCTGAAGGGTGCGCACAAATACCTGTGCTTCAGGTAAAGTGTGGCTACATGTTTCACACAGATGTAAATAATGACCATTTGTGCTTATTCTTTCAATTATATATATATTGTTCAATCAGATCAACTGCGGACCTAGAGGCATTCCAGAATCATATATTGATGTATGCCAGCAAGCGCTTCAGTTTCAGTTCCCCAGTTTATGAGGCAAGAGTTCTGCTTGATGCACTGGATCATAACTTCCACATGAACCAACCACCTATGAAAACCGCAGAAGGCAAAGAGATGTACGTATTACACTTAGAATATTCCCATTTCAAAGTTTTGTATGAAAGTAATTATTAACATTTGCAGTCATCTGTTGTTATAATGACTAAATGATATTGAATGGTTTGAATTTATGTAATTACAGTTTCAGAAGGCTGTACAAGAAAAACTGCAGAAGACACAGGTTATACGCCGTAAAATCTGGAAAAATCTACGGATACATCTCTGAGTTGCAAGCAAGGATTGGAAAGAGGAGAATCAAAAGTGGAGTAGGGATGCCTAAAAAGAAGACAGGTGAGACTTTTTTTCTCCTCCAGGCCCAAAGTTGATGGTGACTTGATGTCATCCTGTTGTCATCATCTGACCTCAATGCAGTTGGTCATTTAATTTGGAAGACTTGTTGAGAAAAAAGGTGCAAAGTTTGAAGACTACCTCACTACTTGTCATTGATGGTGTGCGCCATCACTATGGTTACACATGTTTTTGACCTTTATCCCTATATTTGCTAAGGGAACTCCATCTTCCACATTATAGATTAGTTCCCCTTCGAGGGAACACTATGGGAACGCCTCTGGGCGTGGCAGGGCTGAAATCATGAATGAAACTACTCCAATCCTATTGGCGTTGCTAGAACATTAGCGTGTAACGGCGTAACTGGAGGCGTATATAAGCACGCCAGCACACTGGACACATTAGCTTTTTTCTATTCAGCAGGCACTCTGGCATGTTCGAGACTACTCAGAAAAAAAGCAACCACGAGAGGAAGTTTGCTTACCTGGAAGGAGAAGCAGAGGAGATGGCTGGCGAGCAGTTCAGGCAGTGTGTTTTTTCATGCCTGCGCTACATCACGGCTGGGGACACTCATGCCCTGTGTGCCCAGGCAGCTCTCGAGGGGCTGCTTGTGGCCATTGCGAGGCCCTACCCCTGAGGGTGCTGAGGTCCCGTGCGGCTCTCTTTTCCGAAGACGGCCGGATGCGCTTTCCCCATGGCCCGGCGGTCGCTGAGGCGGTGCGGCGGCTTTGGTCATGGGGCTCCAAGCGCAACATCTCCGAGGGCATCGGGACTGCCGAGGCTTTTCCCGTTCCTCGTCTGCTGGCTCCGACTTCCCTCTTCTTTGTTCCCGCTCGAGGTGTGAGCCCGGAGAGGATGCGGCTGTCCAGTTCTGAGGAGCTGGATGTGCTCAGCATTATGGAAGAGGAAGACTTCCGGGAGCCGGATCAACGTCATCAGTCAGCGATGCCGAGCTTTTGGAGGTGGTGACACGGGCAGTGGGCAAGCTCCAGCTCGATTGGCCGCAGGCTGTGCCGACACACAGGCTGCCAGTAAGCTGGATGAGCGCTTCCTGTGCCGGTCTCTGCCTTTTTTCCCGGATTTGCATGACGAGTTGTGCAAATCCTGGGGCAAGCCCTTCTCAGCACGTCTGACTACTCCCCTGCTCCGGATTTACGACGTCGCAGGGGTTAAGGGCTTCGGCTATGGTATGATGCCCCGGGTTGAGGATGCTTTGGCCAGCTATATCTCAGCCGGCGCTGCCTACCTAGCCATGTCGCGTGAGATCTGCTCTGGTGGGCAAGGCGTACATGGCAGCGGGCCGGGCTGGTGCGAGCCTGCACACGATGGCGGTTTTGCAGGACGACCTGCTGAAGGACATGGACTCGTGAGGGGGCTCCTCTGAGGAGGACATTGCTGAGCTCCACAGAGCTACGGATTTGTCACTCCGAGTCACAAAGGAGAAGGCCCGCGCCATTGGCCGCTCCATGTTGGCGCTTGTGGCCACGGAGCGGCACCTGTGGCTCAACCTGTTGAGCATCCAGGAGGGGGAGAAGACCTTCCTGCTCGACGCACTGGTCACGACCTCTGGCTTGTTTGGCGAGGCAGTGGACGCCGTCGTCAGCAGGTTTCAGCATGCCAGGACACAAGGGGAGGCATTACAGCAGTATCTCCCGCGTCGGTCTGGGTCCAGGATGGCAACGGCTGCAGAGAGACGTCCCAGCCGTCGTCCAGCTCGTACCGCCAGAGCCAGAGGCAGTGTGTTGCTTCTTGTAGTCCCCCTCAGCACACCCGGGACTCGAGGCGGCGCTCTCGCCCACAGCCCCCCGAGACAATGGATCTGAGGACCGTTCTTCAGTCTTGCCGGGGTCGGGGGAAGAGGTCCTGAGCCGTGTCAGCGCTCGGGACGCGCTAGCCTCCAGCGAGCATGCGCCGTTCTGCCTGCCCGGAGGGGCCTCAGTCGGGAGGCGCTCTGGCTCACACACCACGGGTTATCGGCGGGTTTTCCCTGGCGGACCTCCACTTCAGGGTGCCACTGGGGACGTATGCAGAACACCAGCCACCAGCCCTGAGGGGTTGGATGCCATGGTGCAGACGTGGCCGAGGCGGCGTCTGTATGCTTTTCCCCCAGTCGGGTTCGTCAGGACGGTGTCGGCCTACTACTAGTAGCCCCATTTTGGCCGGCCTGAGTGTGGTTCTCGGACATAATATCGCTCCTGGAGGGCCCGCCATGCTGTCTCAGGCGGAGGACCAGGTCTTTCACCCTTACCCCGCCCTGTGGAGACTGTGGGTATGGCCCATGAGGGGGCCCAGTTTCTTGAGGCGGGCCTGACGGTGGGAACAGTTGAGACGCTGCTCAGCTCCAGAGCCCCGTCCACGAGAAGGACGTACGGCCTGAAGTGGAATGTGTTTGCCACCTGGTGTAGAGAACGGGCGGTGGACCCAGTTACCTGCCCGGTGATTCTCCTCAATGCCTGGAGTTTGCCCCGGGGAGGGTCAGAGCCATCCTGCACCCCTGTCCGGGCTATGTCCCTAAGGTTCCGTCCAGGTTGTCAGGGTCTACGGTGCTGCAGGCGTTTCATCCCCCACCTCATTTGACGGCGGAGGATGGGAGACTTCATCTGCTCTGCTGAGTATTTACACTCTGAGGTCCTCCCGGTGGAGGAAAGCAGACCAGTTGCTGGTGTGTTTCGGGTCCCCCAAGGCTGGGCTCCCCGCTTCTAAACACACGATCAGCAACTGGATCGTTCAGACTATTTCCCTGGCCAATCAGGTGCGCAGGTTACCTTCACCTATGACAGTAAGGGCGCACTCTACTCGAGGCATGGCGGCCTCTAGGGCCCTCCGCGCAGTTATTCTTGTTCCCATTGTGTCGTCGCTGACGCAGTTTGAGTACCCTCGAAGGGGAACGTCTTGGGTTACGTATGTAACCCTTGTTCCCCCGAGAAGGGGAATGAGACACTCCGTCGGTCCGCCACACCTCTCCCCGCCTGGAGTGCCTTGCTTCATAGCAAAGAACTAATGTGTCCGGTGTGCCGGCGTGCTTAAATATGCCTCCAGTTACGCCGTCACACATTACCGTTCTAGCAACGCCAATAGGATTGGAGTAGTTTCATTCATGATTTCAGCCCTGCCACACCCAGAGGCGTTCCCATAGTGTCGTCACCGACGCAGTGTCTCGTTCCCCTTCTCGGGGAACAAGGGTTACAAACCTAACCTGAGACGTTCTTGCTGTTGGTGTGGGTTTCAGTGTTCCCTGCAGATGTCCACCAGCCGTTGGTGATTAAAGAAGAGGTTCCCACTGAGTGGAGCCCCAGTCTGGACCAGGAGGACCCAGAGCCCCTACACATAAAAGAAGAACAGGAGGAACTCTGGACCAGTCAGGAGGGAGAGCAGCTTAATGGGCTGGAGGAGGCTGATATCACCAGGTTCCCATTCACTGCTATTACTGTGAAGAGTGAAGATGAGGAAGAGAAACCTCAGTCTCCACAGCTTCATCGAAGCCAAACTGAGGACAACAGAGAGGCAGAGCCTTCAGCCAGCAGCTCAGCTACGCAGATAAAAACAGAAACTGATGGAGGATCAGAACCTGCTGGGAACCTTGATCCAGATAGTCATTTACAACCAGATACTGCTGAAAAAGCTTCAGACACTGAAGTCAGTGAAAATGACTGGCAAGAACCTTTGTCAGATTCTGAAGCTGAAACTGAAGACAGTGACAATGGTTGGAAGGAGACCAGAGCACCTGAGTCAGGTGTAAATGCTCTGAAATATAAGGAAGCTCCTGTAAGTGATGCAGGATGTAATGCTGGGAAAGAATCTTTTAGCTGCTTTGAATGTGATAAACAATATCAACACAAGGGGTCTCTTCAGAGACACATGATGTGTGATTTAGGAAAAGGGTCCTCTAGTTGTGTGTTTAATCAGAAATGTTTCAGAGTGAAGCAAAATGTAGATTCACAGATGAGAATCCACACAGGAGAAAAACTATTTGGCTGTGATGTTTGTGGTAAAAGATTTACACTCCAGGGCAATCTTAGGAGACACATGATAGTGCACACAGGAGAGAAACCGTTTGGCTGTGATGTTTGTGGTAAAAGATTTAACCAGCAGCCACATCTTAAGAAACACACGCGAATCCACACAGGAGAGAGTTCATTTGGCCGTGATGTCTGTGGGAAGAAATGTACAGAGCAGGGAAATATTAAGACACACATGAGAGTCCACACAGGAGAGAAACCATTTAGCTGTGATCTTTGTGGGACAAGATTTGCACAACATGGAACTCTTAAGAGACACATGGGAGTCCACACAGGAGAGAAACCATTTGGCTGTGATGTTTGTGGAATGAAATGTACAGAACAGGGAAATCTTAAGAGGCACATGATAGTTCACACAGGAGAGAAACCATTTAGCTGTGATCTTTGTGGGAGGAGATTTACACAACATGGAACTCTTAAGAGACATATGAGACTGCACACAGGAGAGAAACCATTTGGCTGTGATGTTTGTGGTAAAACATTTAACCAGCAGCCACATCTTAGCAGACACATGAGAGTCCACACAGGAGAGAAACCATTTGGCTGTGATGTTTGTGGGAAGAAATTTACAGAAAAGGGAAGTCTTAAGTCACACATGAGAGTCCACACAGGAGAGAAACCGTTTGGCTGTGATGTTTGTGGGAAGAGATTAACAGAACAGGGAAGTCTGAAGAGACACATGAGACTCCACACAAGATAGAAGATGTTCACTAAGTACATTTGTGAGAACCAAAGCAGTCTTTATAGTCTTTTAATGTTTTGCTGAATTTTCTTTCTCTTCTCTATATTTTTAAATGTCTAACAAATATTAGGTAAAATGCTGCTTACTGCCTACTGAAACCACCTATGTAGACAAATTATTATTATTAATTAATAATTAATAATTAATTATTATTTCTAAATGCTCCCTTTAAATGAAGTTGTTTGTAATGTAGAGGGTATGGAACAAGTGTGGGAAATGTACGTTGCTTATTATGGGGAAAGTGGAGATGGTATTTAATTGCCAAATCCTATAAATTACTAATTTAACATTAGTAATTGATGGTATTTTTTGTCTACAGGCAAGCCTACAGTTTAACAAATATGACCAATGAAGTCTGACCCATGACAATCACCATAGCATTAGCCATTTTTAGCATGGATAACAACTCTAGGCATATTTGCCATGGAGGGGTCTTAACGGGGTGGGCTTACCTGCACCAGGGTTCCCCTTTTCACATTGATAATAAGCTGGAAAATCAATGATGAAATATAAAGAATGAAATATACCCAATTTTGTCATAGTTGAGGAGGAGCCAGAGAAGTCTGTTTAACTGCATTTTGATATAGTTTGTGTTTTTAAAAAATTTTATTGGTGTTTGTCATTTGATATTTGTTATTATTATTATTAGTCAACAAAAACTAATAACATTTCAGTCTAGCTTTTATCATTGAAATATTTTCCAAAATGTATGCATATATCCAAAAGTGAGCAGAGTAATCCAAAATCAACGGAAACAGGACACAGAGTACAGAAAGAACACTCAGCTGATGAGGACACAACAAAGAGATAACAGAACTGAGGGCTTAAATACTGACACAGAACAACACACAGCCAGGGTAAACAAGCACAGGTGAGACACAGATGTGACACATGATTTAATAAATAGAAAGCCAAAATCATAACAGGCTTAACCAAGAATAAAACAGGAAATAATAACACTAAAACTCAAACCATGACAGAACCATAACACTACTCATGCAAAGAGGGCATCAGTATTTGAACCTGAATCCCTAGCCCAGTTGTAGCACTCCTAGCAAAACAGGCCACCTAACAAATACACAGCTTCTGGCTAAGCCAGAGCTGAAGGAATTTAGCACAAAGCTAACAGAACATTTGTAACAACAGTACAACAAGGATAAATTAGCACAAGGTTATCACAAAGCGTTCTCACAGACATGTGGCACTGAAGCAAGTTATTCAGGAATGACCGCTGCCTAGAACGGCAGTCTGAGCACACTATTTAACCGGAAGGCGATCTTGACTGAAGTGTCCTGATTGGAGATGTCAGTAGCCATGTTTCCATCTAATTGTCATGCGAATTTTAAGCGTACTTTTGAAATGTCGCAAAAAAGTAACCGAGAAATATGTGCGTTTCCATCAGCTGGTTTGGAGTGAATAAACCAGGCTACGGCAAGCGTAGTTACGTCAGTAGTTGATGTTACACGTGGCTGTAATAAACAAGACGTATGGGTTCCAAACCAGAAACAAAACTAGTCGCATGAACCTGATGGCCGCTGATCTTAGAAAGATGGAGAGAGGTCCTCAGAAATGTGCTTCAAGCGGGAAAGTTGCTACCAGCCATGTCTCTGCACGCTATGGGAATATCCGGTGATATGCAGAGTTTTGCATGCCTGCCGAGAATTGCATGCACCTCCAAATAATGCTTTTAAATGCTATAATATCCTTTGTGGGGTTCATTAATGGTGATAAATGATTCAAAGTATAAGTATATATTTTATGAATGTTAAGAGTCATTAATATTTTATTACACTCAGTAGTAATAGCATTCATTGAGATTCAGCAAAACTATGCACTGATAACCCCGTTTGATCAGTGTGCAGAGCAAAGGATCTGAAAGGGGTATGTAAGAGGTGAATGCATAATTCGGCAGAACAGATGATGAAGGCTGCCTGCCCAGATTTGCATCCACCTCTTTTGTCAGCACAAATGAGCGTTACCAGCCACGAGGTGCATGAAATTCTCGGCAGGCATGCAGAACTCTGCACAACCAGGCAAGACGCCGACAGCAGAAACAGCAGATCAGTCGTGAGTTACAAGTTCGCTACGTCAGAACTTATTCGGAAAAAGTGTTTCCATCTCCCGTTTAGTGCATTTACTTTTCCTACTTCTTTTTCGACAAAGGAAAAAACCACCTCAAGTGAGCGTAAAAACTTTTTAGCGAAATAAAGGATATTTTTTCGAATTTTGCCGTTTCCATCAACCGTTTCTAATGCGATACTTGAAAATGCGCATTAAAAAACGTCTAGAAACACGGCTAGTGGCACGCTGCGCCAATCAGAATCACCATCGCAGGAAAACCAGGAACTAGGCAGGACTTGTTTTCAGGACAGCCAATCTGCGACGTGGAATCATGCAGCCTGCTTGGGATGTCATCCGGAAGCACGTACACTGTGGTTTTATAAAACATAAAACGTTGCTTAACGCCAATTTCTCTCGACGAGCGCATGCATCATTAGCAGTAGAGTTTCTTTCTATAAGTTTTACATTGCTGTGCTGCTTTGGCAGATGCTTCAATAAATAAGACGTAGAATTGTTCACCGTTGAAAACTTTTTGCTGATCACACAAAGTTTACAAAAGATGACAATTTTCTTTGCATCTTAGATGGTTACACAATGACAATACTGTCGAAACAACGCCTATCTTCCTCGTTCTCCATTCGTCCTTCAGCTTTTTGGCTAACAGCCAACTTGAAGAACATAAGGGCCGGCTTCTTGACTTGAACTGCTGCTGACCTGCCGCGCAGTTGCGCATTCATGTCAAGGTGCGTTGCGTTTGATGCGTTTTGGGAACACAGCATTATTTGAATTAGTAGCTGTAATATTATGGTACATTCCATTTGACATGGGAAGTTGGAATTTGCGAGTTCCAAGTCGGAATTTGGGAGAACGCCCCCTTACGTCGGATTTCTTACTGGGAAAGTCGGGAGAACCTCACCAACACCAACCTTAAAATACCAGAATCAACAGTAGTAGAAGCTGTAGTAATTTTACATTTTTAATCGCACTTTTGTCTTATTTGTGTCTCATTAAATCAGTCACACACACAGTCCTGTCCAAATTATATCTGTTGACATGTTGATACGGTGTTTGTATGTGCAAAATACCACGTAATGCGTTGTTATCAGCTGGTATTGCTAACAATGGCCAGAGGCATCAATCTTGGTTTTCCGACTTAAATTTGTTTTTCTACTAGAACTCCATCAACTCGAGTGTGACGTCATTCTCAGCTCCGACCTCCGACTTCCGTTGTAAATGAAACGCAGCATTATTACTATTTTGGAAATGGTAATCCTGTACACTACGACTTCCTAGGAAAAGAAATATTACAATAACTTCTTCAGTGAGCCCGAAGGATGTTAATGAACAGATTGCCAATCTTTCATATTATAAAGGTAACATTTTCACTCAGGGGTGTACTCACTTTTGTTGCCAGCAGTTTAGACATTAATGGCTATGTGATGTGTTATTTTAAGAGGACACCAAATTTACACTGTTATACAAGCTGTACACTCACTACATTGTAGCAAAGTGTCACTTCTTCAGTGTTGTCACATCAAAAGATATAATCAAATATTTATTAAAATGTGAAGGGTGAACTGACTTTTGTGAGATACTGTAAATCTTGATGCCATCTAAACCCTAATCCTCAACAGCATCTACAGGCTGAAAAGGAAATGGAGGCAGCTCGAGACAGATTTGAATCAAAATTACTCAGATGGGTGACAGGCAGTCAGTTAAGGGTAAATAGGTGAGCCCAAATTCTGTATCTCAGCCCAATGGTGTAATAGTTAATAGCAGTAAATAATAGTTTCAGGTTCCTGGGAATCAGCATCACAGAGAACCTGACATGGTCATCTCACATCTCCACGCTGATGAAGAAAGCTCAGAAACGATTTAGCAATATTTCTTGAGAAAGCTTAAGAAGGGAAAATTCCCACGCCAAGTTCTTGTCAGCTTTTACAGAGCAGCAATTGAAAGAATCCTGACTGGAAAAATCACAAACTGGCATGTGATATGCACGAGCAGCTTTTTCCCCCAAGCTATCAGACTCTTAAACTCTAATTCATCCTTGGCACTGCTCCATTGATTATAGTTTATTTCTGTTTACCATATTTTAAAAATTGATTCTGTATTAATGTATATTGTCTGCTACGTAGCAGAAGGGAGTTACAAAACAATTTCACTCTATAACCTGCTATATTGTGACAATAAACCTACCTACCAATGCAACACACCTATCTAAGACAGCCATGTTGTCTGCACCCCCTGATATTGCTCACCTAGCACAAGCTGTTCAGGAGAGTATTACAATAAACGGACTTCTTATGCCAGAACAAACAGTATTCAGTGGTGAGTGTCATTAATAGACCAAGAGGGCATTTCTGCTGCTGATAAACTGTATTATCTGAAGAAGTATGTTAGTGGTCCAGCCCCTAAATCAGGGGTATTCAAAAAAAAGTTCAAGGAGGTCCAGTTAGAGACAATTTCCCGAAGCAAAGGTCAGGAGCATCATAACGACTAGCTTGCGTCATTCAGTGCCATAACGTGTAGTTGTATCAAAGTATGTTTTTAGTCAACAACTGTCAAATCAAATAATATTTCATTTAAGTAAATTTAAATTTAAGTAAACTAAAATAAAGTGCTAAATTTCAGAAAAATTAAAGAAAAATTGAGCTTGAAGTGATTGAAATGTCTCAACCAATGTTAATAAATAATAAACACTCAACACATCTTAACAAATGAACGGCTTTAATGCCTCCTCTTTCATTTCCTCTTATAGGTTACACCACTATACTTTCTCTTGTACAGTGGGTCTATGCATGTTATGCCAAGACATACATCCACTCCGCATGTGCCTAAACCTCATAAAATTGTGTGTGTCACTGACTACCGGTTACAACTAAAACAAGTGATACTAGGTAAAAATGTGGAACCTTACGCCTAACCTTAAGAATATTTGGTAGGTCAATGCCATGCCTTAAACAGGTTTGAAGAGAAGCATTTGTCATCGTGTTGCTGTAAAAGAGATTCCCCCATCAATATCAGGACAATATGAAATGCCATTGCCCTTTAAAGAAAGGCCACATATGCCTGACAGACAACTTGTGGAGGCCCGACTTGGCCACTTCAAGAGGAGATTCTGTAAGGTTACATCAAGCACATGAATGACATAATTCAAAGAAGTGACGCAGAATAAGCTGAGGATGAAGGATTTTCCGGTGAGAAATGGTACATAGCGCATTTACCACCCAAAGAAGCCGGAAAAGTTGCATGTTGTTTTCAAATGCTCAGCCAAGCAGAAGAACCAGCCCTAATGGGCATCATCTGTTTGGACTAGACACAATAAACAATCTAATAGCTGTCCTTCAAGTTGCTTTAATGTGTGACGTAGAAAAAATGTTTCATCAGTAAAGTCCACTAGAATGACCTACCTAGAACTACCTCTGCTTCTCATGGTGGAGAAAGGGACTTGAGCACCCAGCTGCAAGAGTATTAATTGACCACTGATTCCGATTAACCACATGACCTCTTTGGTTCCATGTTCCCCATGTCTGACAACTCTGCGAGGCGGGGAGGAGAAACATGAAGTCAGATGTGTATTGTGTGGTCAGTTCGGGGTGGGCGCAGCTGCATCAGGGAGTTACCGAAGCCACGAGTCAGGTTTTGCAGCGCTGCCAAAATTTCTGGCAGCAGGATGTTCCATGTTGGTAGAGTGCTGGTTTACACTTTACAATAAGGGACATACATTATACAGTGTCTATGGATGATTTATTGATGATTTAATTAAGGAACAAATCAGGAACAACTAGATTATTGATGAATAACTAAATACTTAAGATGAATACTTATAATGAACGACTACCTACTTAATAATAACTTCAAAGAATTCTTCATGGAGGACTATATCAGTGGGGTAGTCTAGTTTTCTGTGGTGAGTATACTGTGATTTTTCCCTGCCAGCCTCATACTCCCCCGTCCCAGAGCGACGTCCCATAAGCACCACTACACTCATTAATACATACAGTATGCATGTACATGTAATAGAGAGCATTCTGAAGGACTGCTTAGTGTTACACTGATAAGACTTTTAACAGCCAATGATGGTTACAGGTGGGCACTTTGTGTTGAAAAGTGGTGGGGACAGAGACGGGGCTCAGATTAGAGTTGTGACAAAACACTTATGAGACATACGAGACGTGACAATCCAGAATATTGGGGTCACGAGAGCATATTTTAATGCTATTTAAAGAAATATTTATTGATGAAAATATACAATTGGGGGGTCTGGGGCTCCTGCACCAGAAGATTTTTAGCATTAAACACTTAATTTCCTGCATTCTGGAGACATTTTCTGCACCAATTTATGGAAATGTCTTTATTTATATAAAGGGGAACACAAAATTTAGATGGCAGTTGACAATTCAGAATATAAAAATATAATGGAATATAATGCAGTAATCAGTAAATAGTTTTATTTTAGCTTATGTAATTTTTGGGATAATGCAGATCTGTTTTTCTATATTTACATTGCGTTGTATGTTTTCTTATTGTGCCAAAAAAAAACTTTGTCATAGTACTCACATTTGTTATTTAACATTTCTTGTTACAAGCTATTTTTCAGAACAT